CAGGAAGGAAGGGAAGGTGCAACGGGAAGCGCAAGCACCACTCTGCATGGACGACCTATTGCCAAACCTTTGCAGAACGTTTGGTGGTGAAGTTTACTTCATCGTGAGGTTTCATCCATGCCGACTGGGTGGATTCTGTCCATCGATACTCTGAATGCAAGACATCAGGCTTCAGCCACCTAATTCGTGCGCGTGTGTGCCAGTGGATCGCTCTGTTCCAAGTCTGTCATGAATTGCCTGCAGCCGGTGAAAACGAAGGCTTCCCCAGAGAAGGTGGGGAAAAAAACGGGGTCCTCCCCTGGTTCGTGGTTGAACTTTGAGTTCTTCATGAACGGGGTAAACCACCAATCCCAAAGTGCGAAGTCAAAGAAAGTCCATAAGGGGCCTCCCAGCTGGCCGAATTCGATTGGGAATCCCTCCAAAAGTGGGGATTCCATACATCCCCACCGTGAAATGGTGTGCATCAAGGGGTTCAACCAATTGATGCTATAGGAATGTGACCAAGGGGCCCAAAAGGGGTTTCTTACCATTCTTGCCTCTGCGATTCTGTACCGCTCCCGCAGGTACCTCTTACACAAATCATTCTGACAAGTCCCGCCTGAAGCCACGAAGTAATACCTCGGCCCGTGGTCTCTCCAAGACACGGCAGACATCCTCGTGGCTCGGCAGGCTCTTCACATAGTCCAGAGCTGTTCGACTCGAAGCATCTTTGTTTCCTTGGCGCTTCGTCGATGGCTAAATTCTGGTGGAATATGTCCATGCTTTTCACTGAGGTCTAAAAGTCTAAGGGTAGAGCCGAGTTTCTGGGGTCAGCTTGAAACCGCAACAGCAAACGGACGATGTACGTCTCATTCTGTTTGGCGGCCTCGTGCAAAGGATAAGTGAATGACAGGCCCAGATACCTGGTCCTCCTGGCATTCACTTGAGCATTGAAACCATTCGCATCCAGGAAGCGCAGCAGCATCAAGCTCGCTTGCTTTTGCGCCTTCCGCTGCTTTCGAATGATGCGATCTGACGGGGATTTGCTGGCCAACTCCCTGATGCTGGGCATTGGACATGCCCTATCTGTCCGAAGAGCTCTTGGCGCATGTTCTACTTCTCTCCGTGGCGGTTGCGGGCACCTACTGTCCCAAAACTGCACATCCGAGCCGACGGAGTCTCGCATGGACGCACACAAAGCAAACTCTACATCATCACCAAGACCATCAGGTTTTTGTTGGGCTTCGATTGGGTACGCTGTGCAAGGTAGGCAGCTTGCCATTGCGCCGCTGCACCTCAATCTTGAAGCCGAATATCTCTGCGGACAGGTTGGTCATGAGGCAATCTGTCGGAAATGAGCACGATGGAAATATAACTAAAGGCCTAAATATTTGGGGACTCTAACACCACATTTAGTCAAAATCATCAGGGATAATACCAGCAATTATTTAGCCCCTTGTAATACCGGTACCGAATAACCAGGATCTCCAAATTCGACTGCCATTCAAGTGATGGCTGGGCAGGTCAACACGTCAGCAACGCCAAGGCAAATCCAAAAGGAGCCGCTTGTCAAGTCTACTGAAAGAAGCATGAGCAGCTCCTGCCATGCTATTTCAGTGTATGTGTTGCAGCTGGTACTGTAACTGATGGTACCCGCCAGATGAACAACTCATGTGTGCCCTGGTCAAAACTCCCAAAATGTGGGTCATGGTCATGGTTCCCTTCGTAATCAGGAACCTTCAAATTGGTTGCTTAAGACCCCAATAAAGGGTCAATAACCACTCCTACCAACCCAATGCCAAGCAAAGGAGTCTTTTCATCATGCCACAAACAAGGCAGAGGGCACCTTTGCCGAGAAGAGCAATTATCCTCCCACACTGCTCCATCTCCGTCTGCATAGTCGGCAATTGGCAAGACAAGAAAACAACAAAAAGCAAGCAAGCAAGCAAGCAAGAAAGCAAACAAAAACAAACAAAAACAAACAAAGAAACAGAGAAACAAACAAACAAATAAACACACAAACACACAAGCAAGCAAGCAAGCAAGCAAGAAAGCAAACAAAAACAAACACAGAAACAAAGAAACAAAGAAACAAAGAAACAAACACACAAGCACACAAACAAGCAAGCAAGCAAGCAAGCAAGCAAGCAAGCAAGCAAGCAAGCAAGCAAGCAAGCAAGCAAGCA